GTCATCTGCTGTGACTGCTGCACTCCAGGACAAAGCCTTGGACAAGAAACTTTAAAGATGCCGCAGACCTGGAAAGCCTCAACTAAGTTTACTTCATTTTTGCTCTCTAGGAGCCTCTGTCTGCCTAACCTTTTGGACTTTGTAGTGCTTATTAACAGTTCTCCTCCACCCTTTGTGCCCGTAGTGATGCCGCGGCTCAGTGCTGCGTTTGAAGGTTCAGATTTGGCTCTGCTGCTTTCAGCAGGCACCAGAGAGTCTTTACCTGCTAGTTTTGTGCATCTTCTCTTAATCGAGATTTCTCTTTTAACTGCTTCACTTTTGCCAATGAATCCTTTTCATTCCACAGAGCCAGAGCAATTATTTCTCTTACCCCTGCTCTTAATACAGCCTGAGTGCTTCTAGGTTATTATCTATGGATGCCTTTCCTGAAATGACGGGATAGACCATTGTATCTCACCTGCAATCATAATCCCAGTAAAATGGCATTGAACAGTGAAGTGCATCGTCACTCCCCTCCATCCCCCAGCCAAGGGCTTGGAGAAGAGAAAGGACAAAGCAGTGCAAGCGGTGGATGTGAAAATATTCCAGACTTTGGTCTTTAGCCTCTGGACCAGAGGGTTTTTGTGTGTGATTGTTCTGACAAAGCATGTAGTTTTCACAGAAAGGTTTCTTAAATCTGTGGTTTTGCACAAAATTAGGGCATGGATGAGGACCTGGAAGTGGCTGTGGGGAGGGGTCTCTTCTGGCCATAGCCCGTCCTCTGGTGTTAAGCAGGTTTTACTTCTGGTTTTGTACATGTGTGAAACAAGTGAGATTGTGCTTATTTACACGTGAAGCTCTTTGAGCGGTTGTGTTAAAGCACTTGCAGTGCATACCAGTGGGGTAAGAGGCAGCAAGTGAAGGAAGGGTTGTCCCTATTTTACATGTTTGGACCTCGGGCAGAAAAAAGCAAAGTGACTCACCCCAAAAGTCATGCAAGAACTCCTATATCTCAGAGCATGTCATGCAAAGAGACAAAACAAAGTCTTTCAGAATTCTTAAGGTCACCAAGAAGTTTAGTATTTTCGAATGTTACACAAATGTTTTTTTTGAAAGCTGCCCAGGGAGTCACTTAGCACTGACTGCACCTGACCTGCTTGTGGCTGGAGAGATGTCCCAGGGATTGCAGGTACCTTGGTGTGGTGGTTCGGTGGCCTGTGGATGCCTGTGCTGCCATGCAGCACTCTCTGCTTAAAGGCTCCTGGCAAGTCTCACGTTCCCCAGGTGAGTAACGCTAGATGCAGAGCAAGACATGCATCTCCTTGGAGAAGTTTTGTTGTTGAAAGACACGAGCTGCTACGTTGCTTGTCAGCAGGTGTTTTGGCTGGGGCAGGGCGGCTCTGCTGGCAGAGCACGTCCTTTCAGGGAAGGACGATGCTGTTCCTCTTTGGAGCAGATGGGAGTTGTGAGATTATTCTGGCTTGCTCCACCAAAAAAATAATTTTTGGGAGGAGGCTTCTAGAAATGGACTTTGTTTGAGAAGTCCAGGATTAGCATATGAGCTGAAGGCATCTCTTCTGATGAGCAGCAGTGAAGGGGTTAAGTGTCAGTGTTAAATGGTTGCTGTTAAGTGTCCAGCGCCTTGCCTCTGTAAGAAAATGAGATGTGTTCATGCCTCTGGGTGCTTTTGCTGTGGGCTCTGACTTGGAAAGACCAGACTGCTTCAATTTCTGTTCTGAAGAGTTTTGAGGTTAGAAATCTTTCAAAAAGTTTTCTATATGGGAAAATGGGTAGGAAATCAGTAGGGAAGATAATTACTTTAACTTGAAGATATTTTCTGTGCTTCTGAACAAAAAGGTGCATTACCATGGAAGAGATGAAATGCTGGACTTTATGACTGCAGTAGTGTTTGGAGACAGCGGTGCAGACTCTTAAGAGATGGCTGCTTATACTAAAGAGAAGCCCTTACACAGGCTGATGTTTAATGTCAGATGAGAAATATCCTAGCAAATGTTTTTCACAGTTAGTGTGTGTATTTATAGAAACTAACATCGGAGGCCAGCAAGCCATAAAATGGATTGTACAGTATTTTGTTATCTTCCTTGCAAATTTGACCAAAGAACTCCTAAATGATCTTACGCAGTGAAATATAACACCATCGTTCGACCTCCAACCGTCACACAAATGGACAAACATTTTAATGTTGAGAAATGCCTGCATCAAACAGTAGCTTGGCATACTCCAGTTCATTTATTTGAATTTCTTGTGGTGGCTAGGATTTCCATATTCTTTTCTTTTTCAGCACACTATTTCATTATAGGGCGCTAACAGTGCCGTCAGCAAAGAAATCATTTTTAAGCGTGAACATAAAGAATTAATGCAGCATCCTCACCCTCCAAGTGCTTTGCAGTTTTCAGTGATAAAATGGGAGGTGGTTTTGGCTCCCATTTTAACTTTCACAGCACAAGGAGCTGCTGGTCTGGTGGAGGGTCAGGGTGGGTGCTTTCTTCCTTTCATAGCTAACGCACAGGAAGAGATCCCGTCCTCAGTACTCACCAAATAATAGCTTGAAAGCAGGGTGGCATGGTCTAACCAATCGATTTGTCATTGGCTGACCTGAGAGGGAAAATGAAAAAGATTCAAAAGCAGATAAATAATTGACGTTACTAGCCTTGAGTCCATTCAGCTTGCAACCTTTTTCTCCTTGATGTTAAAGACAGCTGAGTTGCTTTTGGCAGCTTCTTTCTTTGGCCCAGGCTCCCCTGCAACCTGAATGTTTGATTGCGGGAGGAAATAAAAACTGGACCTGAGCAGCGATAGGTGTTTACATGTGCTGTGAGTAGATGGATTTGTGAGTGCGTGCAGTCTCTCCTTCCACTGCATGGCCTGCAAGAGCAGAGCATTTACTGTATGTTGAAGGATATATATAAAAAACATCAGGTACTCGGTGCTCCGGGAAGTAGTGTTTTTTGCATATCCCAATACTTTTCATCTTCCCTGTAATGTGGCATTTGGTTAATGAATGTGCCAGAGTGAGAAAACCCAAAGGAAACCCCTGGCTGTTTTCCCAGGAACTTTATTAATTTTGCAGCTCTCAGTTTTGAGGAATAGGTAAGGTCCCTACCCCCACTCCAGAGAGGCTCTTAAGTGTTTTTTAAACTGTTATTCCTAAAGTAGGTTAAACTGTAGGTGTCTGAAGCCTTGCAGTACCCTCTCAAGGCATTTGCAGAGCGTGGAGAGAGAGTCTGCTTTTCTGAATGCCCCGGCACAGGGTATAAATGAGAAGCCACTGATACGAGACCACCAAACCAAGCACAGCCAAAATCAGTGATTTTTGGCATGGTAACTGTAGGTGAAAGCACAGTGTAGTCACCCCTGGTTTCCCCACGCACCTGGCTTGATCTTAGTTACATAAAAGCCAAGTGGTGCTGTGTGTGTTCTGGTCCTGGAGCATCAGAGGGGTGTTTGGGACCCACGATTAAGTGACTTAAATGCTGCACCTCATCAGGACCTCATGGGCTGTGAGGTCCTAAATCGCTGAGGCACAAAATAGTTTTCCACCCCAGTATACTTCTGCCTTTCAGCACTGATCTCAGCACCTGAAGGTTTCTCTGCTCATTATGCCTGCTTGTGCCTTTGTGCTGTTGCCTGAGCCTGCCTCAGTTGATGCAAATGTTTTATCTAATCTTTTTTTCACATTTCTTCCCTGAAATTTTTCCACCTCCTCTCTCTAGCCTTCTCTGTAAATGTTAGATTTAAAAGGTTATGTACAAACATGTAAGTTACAAAGAAGTTGCCAAAAACCTTAAAATCTAGAATCTTTGGAGTTTGTCTGCTATTATGCAGAGAAGATTGTGGAAGCAAATATTAGTCATTCACATCATTTTCTGTGTTGAGTCAATGTCTATTTTTAGGTGTGGAGCACATAGACAACTCTTTGACACATAAAACACATGAAGACATCCATTTGACATCATTTGTGTTTGGGCTAAGGCTCGGGAAGAGGGGAAGACTGAAATCATTGTGTTCATGATGGGACCCCCCATTTCCTTCCAAGACACATTTTAAGACAATGTAGGAAAGTACCGATCGGTTTATATTTAAATAAATCAAGATGAAGTGCAAAATACTCAGGTTTGGATCCAATGCTATTTCAGATGTGCTGCAAAGTAAATCTTCGTGATCTGTGCTCAACACTTGCCATTAGTAGGAAGTATTTTTATTATGTTAAATGTGTGTATTCTAAATGTATATATTTTAAAAGTGCAGAAGGCTTTTTATGCATGTACTATAATTACAAATCTGATTCATAGGTAGAAGAGCAGTTAAGAGAGACTTGATTTAATAATTTTCCAACAGCATATACATGCAGTGCCTCAGCTGGATTTTCTTGTTTGCTTGGCCATAATATTTTATGGTCTGGTTCTGGGCTTATAGTGCAAGGGAAGTTCTTGTGATAAATTGCAGATATGATAATGAGTGTCGTATACAGTTCCCTAAGCAGATGTTCATTTAGTCTAATTTCACCAGTACTTTACTGTTCATCCAGAACAGATCTTGCCAGCTCAGGATGAAAACAACAAAGAGAGCACAAAAGATCACTCTGCAGATAACCTGATCTGTTTCAGATACTTGGAGGGGGGGAGGAATAAAACATACTGGAACTTGAGTGCTACATATGTGCTAAGGTTATTATATGTTGGATACAGTAAATCATCCTTACACCCACAGCCCATAGGGGTAAATTTACAAAGTCGTGCGTAGGAAGTTGCACATTAATCTACCTCTGAACAATAGTTATTTTATGCCTGCACTTAAAGAACCCTTGCGTTTGTTTTTAAGGTCTCTCTAGCTCTTCCTTTGTTCTTCCAGCCTTTCCTGGCTTTCTTAGTTTTGCAGAAGAGGTAGTGTCTGAACTCAAAGGTTATTGCTTGTGAAAGAACAGAAAATAATCTGTCTGTTTAAAATGCAAAGGGTGGCTCTAGCTTACTAATACACCTTTCCTTTTCTTCTATCTGTAGGTGTCGTATGCCCGTCCAAGTTCAGCATCGATCAGAGATGCGAACTTGTATGTCAGCGGCCTTCCGAAAACAATGACCCAGAAAGAATTAGAGCAGTTATTCTCACAATATGGGCGCATCATCACCTCACGGATTCTGGTTGATCAAGTCACAGGTTAAAAGAAAACTTTTCTTGATACATGCATGTTTTTCTGGAAATGGCAAAATTATAAACGCTTGCTGGCAGTTGAATTTTAGGACAGTATGACTTTCGGTGTAAAATGCAGTACCTGGTTCTTTCTAAGCGTAACTGTTTGGAGGCATAACTGCTGCCTCTTTAATGAGGGATCTCAAAAGGCAGAATGTTGTTTACTTAAAATCGTTATATTAAATACAGTAGGGGCTGATTTTGGATAACACAGCTGGGGAAGGGCATTTTTCTTTATAGCACTTCCTGTAATTTGCAAGCTGTGTGTTCTGTGAAGTCAAAACCAACATTCAGTTTGTTTGTTTCATAGATGAGGCTGTTCCTACAAATATTCATCTGTTCACGTGTTTTTACTTCCCAGGGGTTTCTCGAGGTGTGGGATTTATCCGTTTTGATAAGAGAATAGAGGCAGAAGAAGCCATAAAGGGACTAAATGGCCAGAAGCCTAGTGGTGCTACAGAACCAATTACTGTGAAGTTTGCCAATAACCCCAGCCAGAAAACAAGCCAGGCACTCCTTTCACAGCTGTATCAGTCTCCCAACAGACGCTACCCTGGACCACTTCACCACCAGGCTCAGAGATTCAGGTAATTACCTGGAAAAGAACTGAAGTTTCACCAGCGATGACAGTGTGGGTCAGGTGCTGCATAGGAAAACACACTTTAGTTGTGTAGGCTGACCTGATTTTCTTTGTAAAATTAAATATTCTTTCCTGGAGAATGAGGAGGAAAAGCTGCTGACAGCAGTAGTCATGTTATATTTACTAAAACAGCTGAAGTATTGTACAATCAGATCTCGTGAAGTCTCATAGAAAAAGGAAGGACAGAATGGATTTACACTGATAATCAAATGAGCAGTGACTATCCTGTTCTTTCTCTTTTTTTTTGGTAATGCTTTTATTTTCTGCTGTATTACTACAGTTTTGATGCAGCTTAGACTTTGATGTTAATGACAGTGGTTTGGTAGCAGGAAAAAAGCTGAGTCTGTTCCAGTCAGCAGCAGTATCATTAAATTTATTAGCCTGAGATATCTGCTCTTAGTATAAAGAGACCTTGTATTAGTCTTTGGTGTGATTCTTCAGATACTTTCGGGGATGTTTTATGCTCTGTATCGGGAATATACTGTTTCCATCTGATACGTAAGCCAGAGTTAGCAATACATGATGTTCTCGTCGTTTTTATATTTGATGATAACTTTCAGGCAACGTAGCATTCAAATAAAAAGTCTGCTTTCAACAAAAGAAAACTTGGACGTATTCGTGTAACTGAGTTGCATACTGGCTTTAGCGAATTATTCAAAAGTAATTTTAGTTTTTCAGTGATCAAAAGTGCTAATGAATTACAGATGATAAAAAAAAGGTCAGTCATTGGATACATTAAATTTACGCTTGTTTTTGTGTCTTTGGCACACAGTTCTGTCCATTGAGGTTATCACTGAATCATTCCATGGACAGAACTGTAGTGTGCTCCCATGGAAAGCAGATGATTATATTCTGAAAAATTTGGGTGGTCATTTGGATTGACATATCATGGAGGATTAATACTAAATATATGTGATATAGTGGGGAGAATGTATTATATTAAAGCAGTTAGAATCAAGAATTTTTTCCAGTTCCAGCAGTTTTGGACTGTAACATACTATTTCCAAGTTAACTGTAAGTATAAGGTGAACAGTTGAATTATTTGCAAAAATTTCATACTAATATTGTCTAAAAAAGGCAAATCAGAAGTGGATTTTTTTAAAACCAAACCCTGGAAATTAAGGTTTTCTCAAAGACTGTAGGGAAGTTAAAAATGACTTTAAATGCTGTGGTGGAAATTTAAGCACAACCTCAGACTTAACAAAGCAGGCTGGGAGTTGTTAGGCTCCTTAGATGTGTGGGAAACTTGTTGAACGTTTCTTCTTTGAAAATGGAACACTATTAATAATAGTTCCATTGAGCGATCTTGCCATCTGTGAGACATTAACCCAAAGACCCTCCTTCTCTTTTCAGGCTGGACAATTTGCTTAATATGGCCTATGGCGTAAAGAGGTAATTAGAATTCCACAGATTGCCAGATGTCCGTGTTGGCACAGATTGGTGCTACAATTTATTTTTTTTAATTCACTAACTTTATTTTTTTTTTTTAATTCCTTCTTTTCTTCCACCAGCATGTCAAATTCTTTTTAAGTTTGGACTTCAGTTGGTTTTGTTACTTTAAAGGCCACACACACAAATTCTGTGGGTTTTTTCAACCTTTTTTATTTACAGGTGGGCTTCTCAAATGGTTTAGGTGCAACAGCTACAAGCATTCAAACTGCAGTTGTCCTGCTAAATAGCACTTTGTCCAGAATCAGAACTATTAAGTTCTTAAAAAAAAATCTCCGATCTGATAATGGAAAATTTAACAGTTGAAAACAGAATTACACTGCTGTTGTCTAAATCTCACAGTTAAGACCTTTCTACTACATCTGGCTTCACAAGTTTGACTTGAAAATACAGCTGCGTGCACCTTAATCAGCCCTAAGTTTCTTTTGTTACAGGTTTAATACTTTGAAATTTTCTCGGTGCTTGAGATTTGTTTTTTGTTTAAAATAGCTCTGTGTGTTTGTGTGTATGTGCACGCATGTGTGAAAGTTCAGCTGATTTGTAAACATTTATGCTGTTTCATGAGTATGTTCAGTGTTTGATCTGATAGCTAAAATGAGTTGACGTGTTGTTAGTGTTTCTTCTAATGGCACACATCAACGCAAGCGAACCTTACAGCAAAATAAAGGTGTAGTCTTATTCCTGATGTTACCGTAAGATGTCCAGCCATCCCCCACAATTAAGATGAGAAAATACTTCTTAATCTTCTGAAATGGTCTACTCACCACATTTGAAAATTATTTGAGCTTTTTTTAAAGCTCACCCTGTAAAATGGTATGGTAAGTATATCTTTACACTAGCTAGTAGTAGACAGTAACATGGGTTTTAAGTACTGCCACAGTAGCATCATACAAATCATAAATCTTAAGACTACTTAAAAAAGTAATAGTCAGAACAGAGGCAGTGTATCTTCCCAGAAGCACTACTGCTGGTGTTCATTAGTACCTTTGTTACATTCGCGATATCCTTAGTGGTGATGGTGATACAATGAGTCAGAACTTACCACCTGATTTTATCACACACCGCTTCTCCTGTGTTCTCCCCTCTCATTTGTTTCTTGATACATTGCTAAAAACATGGCAAAACTCTCAGCCTCAAGTACCTGTCAGCTACAAGTCAGTGTCAGAAGGATGGGTTTGTTCCAGTTGTTTTCCCTGGGTTTGCTGCTGCTTTCCCTGGAATTGGACTGGCGTGTGGTGCAGGACAAACAGGGCTTAGTCTGAACTAGTGAGGGTTTGAATTCTAATTTCCTATCACCTCCCTGTCACAGAG